TGGTTGAATATAATATCGAAGAGACTATTGTAGATGGGCAGTGGGATTATAACAACAAAATTCATATAAAATGTACGGAAGGAGATCAGCTCTAGAATAAAAGATCTAGAAACTGAATTTGCAAATGTAAGGATCAAATCAGCCACACCTCTCTCTTTATCTGACCAATAATTCTGACCTCAAACACCGTTCATAATGAAATATGGAATCGAAGAACCGTTGCCACCTATGACTACAGAACCTTCTAGGAGTTTATCAATACCTAACCCATTTCCAGAATTTAGATGTCCAGTTTAATAGCATTGCCCGCTTGGAAAACTAACATATCATGATGGAAAAATACTTTTTGGCATATCATACTTAGCTCGAAATAATTTCTAAAGCGAATGGACGGTGTAGTGAACAAGAAGCCTATCATCTTGTTGTCTTTGTAAAAGGACTAGCCTTAACAATATTAAGCAGTCTTCCAACTGAGAGTAATAACAACTATCAAGTATTGATGGCTGCCTTATCAAACAGTTTAGAGGATCACATCAGAATGATGTTTCCAAAATAATGTTTAGGAGCACTGAGAGGAGGAAGGAAGAGACTTTAGGTGAATTCAAATTCGATGACGAGGAACCCACTTTGAGACTAATAATAGCTTGTTTACGTATTTTATTCGTATGCTACACGTGAAATTACGGATTCTCTGACACAAGATCAATTCATACATACATACTATAGTCGATGAGGACATGTAAATTAGGCAAAATCAAAGCATGTGTACATCGTGATGAAACTTGAATTACTTAAAGTTGCAGATCTACAAATATATTTATTACTCAGAAATTATAAACGTATTAGATCAAATGGTATAGAAACATTAAATCTTTGGAATGAAGGTCTGGAAGAGCTTAAATGATTCATTAGAAAACTGTTAACTCAGAACGAAAGATATAAACCACATGACAGAAGGTGTTTCCATTGCAACTTAAAAGACATATTGACAGGAAACACAGACAAAAGCTTTTAGTTAGAGAGTTGTTTACACAGGACAGAAGTTTTTTCAACTCTAACTTAAAATGACATGTTAATAGAAACTTGTCATGAAAAATGATTGGATAATGAAACTGGTATAAATGTGGAAACAATGGACGTTACATCTGAGTGGGATAAATCATTCATTGATAATGAGTCAAGGCGACGAAATGTTAAGGATGAGAATTCTCAATAATCTGTTCCATTAGAAATAATGAATGGATTATATAAAGAAAGCAGCCCACAAGTGAACGGGTTTATTGATCGGAAGCCCTGCACTTTGTTGATCGACACTAGTTTTACAGCTACAGTTGTTTGGCCCGATCTAGTAATAAGATGGACTGATGCAAACAGCAAGTGGACATAAAGTTCAAGCAAGAGGAAAGTTTGAAGTCGCTTTCACTGTAGCAAGTTTCTTTAAACCATATAATATATGGGTAAATTACATCGAGGAAGAGGATATATTGGGAACTGATTTCATGCTGAAACATACATGTGAGGCTAGAATAGCTTGAAATAATATCACACGATACAACCAGAATATCCCCACTCACCAAACGACAATTACATCACCAGAGGTTGGAAATCAAGTAACAATAAAGATGAGTGTATAGGAAAATAAACACAGTCGACGTGGAGTGAAACAAGGTAGAATCCAGAAGGAAAAGTGATCCAAACCAAGGTCATCCCACGTCATCGTCTTTGGAAGGACGTAGACGCGAGAACAATCTTTTTTAACGTCCTCGAAAAACTTCATAAGATGTAAGTTAAATTGATGGAGAGTCCTATATTCCAATCCCTCGACCATCTACACTAAAGGAACTCCCCAATGACTAAACAGCAAGTGACCGTAAAAACCAAGAGGTCATCTCATCTTCGTAAGCATAAGCCACAAAAAAACAACAACCACCTATACTTGATGACAGGACAATTTAGGCGTTATAAATTATAAAGAAAAAATACTGCTTTTTTATTTAAAATAATTATTGTGCATTGTGTTTTGTATGCTTCAGTAATGATTATCTATTTTTAATGTTAGATGTTTGGATATTGATGTTGTTAATTATAAAGATTGACTTTAGTGCTGAATATGAAATTTTAAATTTAGAGAACAATCTTACTTGAGTAACGAGATCTCACAGTCCAGGGTGGACGCAGTGTTGTGAACTGTGTTGTAATAGAAAGAGTTTTGGCATGTTTTAGTAATGACGTATGACACCTAGACATTTCCTAAATGTCTGAATTTAACATAACGTGCAATGTCGTTTTGAATTTTCTCGTGGACTTACGGGGAAAATACTGTAATGATATAAATATCACAAGATAGTTGTTATTCATTACTGAGTTAGTTACTTTATTAGTGAATCTATTACAATTCTGTTGGCGGATTATGAGTTGATGAGGGTGTTAGTCAGCTAGGTTTGAATTTGTGTTGTAGTTATGAGTGGAAAGTCAACAAGCAAGTGACTGTTAAATTGTACTCGTGAGTTAGGCCTATCAACCGCTGAGTTTGTAGATCTTGTGTACTTGAATTTAAGCATTTAGTTTATAAGAGACGTGTTAATGATACTATTGTATTACTCATAGAACAAAGTCATGTACAGAACGTTTCTTACATAATTAAGTATGCTTTCCAAGCAAACAAAATTATTGAAAAAATGGCGCAATTTGTTATTTTAAATTATAAATAAAGGATTTTTGTTTGAAAATTATCTTATCATAAAAATATTATTTACAGCAATCATGGACGTCCACAAGATATATTATAGAGGGATCAAGATAACAAAATGATATCAAAACTATAACTAGGGAATCGCAAAACTGATAATGCAAGGAGCAAGTGCCTCTCCTTGCAGACGCCCATGACAGCAGTATACTTTCATTTTAATTTGATACCTTTTTTTTTTGTAATGGGAGAACTAAGTATGTAATTTGGTTCAAATGAAATACACCATACTAAACAGCGTATTCGGAAAAATATTTCCAGATAGTTTTGTGAATAAAATTAGAAATCAATTCATCCGGGTAATTAAAGCCTTACTTCAAAGCAGCTTACTGTGTTCTGTTACTCTTGTTCTTCTTTTTCAAGGCTATTATGGCGATAGTCTAAAGTTGAAATCGAACACATTTTTTAATTTTTATATCTCTAGACAGAATTAAAACCAAATTTTTTATTTTCAATTAAAATTTAAAGATGTCTTAAATGACATGTATAAGAATCCTCCATTTAAACATTCCAGTTTGGTTTTAGAACACTTATTCACTATAAGAATATCATTGGTTCGTATTAAAGACCATTGTAAAGGCACAACAAAGATAACATCTTGTGTTCTACATTGCGTCTTAAAATGTGACGCTCAAGTGCAAATTGGCACGTTAAAGTTATTGGTAGTGCAGATAATGAGCAAATATTAAAGACAGAAAATACTCTAATGATCATACAATTTAATGAAAGTCTATCTTCCTCTTCGTTATTAATATAAGTGTAATTCAAACTCTGTTCTACCTGAACTTTCCGTACTTAAAAGTGTGATGAATCCAGTTAACTGTTTACGACAATCATAAAATATGTTGGAATCAAGAATTTACATTTATAAAAAAATAGTAACTCAAAAAGTATGTTTAAATTTTATTGTGGTATGTTTAAACTCAAGCGTCAGGTTGTAGATTTTTTAAAATATAAAAACTAAATTCCTTTACGTCAAAACTTAACTTTCTTAATGAATATGTTTTTGCTTATCAGGGACGATGAAGCTAAGTGTACTGTAAAGTACTAAAATCCATGTAAAATGGCAGGATATTTATCAAGAAAACGGTTGAACACAATATCAAGAAAACGGTTGAACACAATCAAGTGTGAAGAAGATGTTATGTAGCAAGCTTATTTTTATTGCATATTTCTATAGAAAACAACCAAAATACCTACTTGAAAATGACAAATTCTTAAGCCCCCAGTGGCACAGCGGTATGTCTGCGGACTTACACGCTAGAAACCTGGTTTCGATACCCGTGGTGGGCAGAGCACAGATAGCCCATTGTGTAGCTTTGTGCATAAATTCAAACAAAACAAACAAATTCTTAAGTGTTTTTAATACTTCAAGCTTAATTTGTCAACTTTCTTTATGGAACTGAAATTACTATTAACAATAATTGGGGAAATTTTCTAAAAACGGTTACATTTTAATTCATAGTGAATTTAGAATCTTTGGTTTTGCGATAATATATTGGTAATAAATTGTTTAAGATCTAGGCCTATATGACATTACTTCTGAAGAAGTTTAAATTATTGTTAGAATGTGACCACCAAATAACTTCTACCAATTATAAATACATTTTTTTTTCAAAATGAGCCAAACAAAATATAACTTTAGCATTATGCCTTTTACAAAATTTAAATTCACCACTGCAAAACAAAAGAAAACTCATCAGAATCAGTTTTTGAAGCTTTTGAAGATGGCGCCTTTCTCACTAACGAGCAGTGTAATCTGTTGATTAAATTATTGAAATTTTCACGCGCTAAAAGGACCAGAGGACAACCAGGTTATACAAAAGTCCTTTCATAATATTTTTCTATGCAAACTGAAAATCAACATTTATAGAGAATAGAAGAATTATTCTACACACATCATACGTCGTTTTATGGGGTTTATATTTAAAGACTAGCCGTTTATGGGTCTGTAAAACTGGATTAGTCTGAAAAACGTTCGAAAATTACTATCGGTTTACCGAACAGAAATTCAGAATATTTCACCTGACCGATTTCTAGTGACATTAATTATATACCATGACGTGAGCTGTGATAATGAAAAAAGTAGACTAATTTGAAAGCGACAGTATTAGTTGATGAACTTGAATCATACACATACGTATATCCGAGTTTAAATCTTTGTGTTTTTCTTAAGCAACACAACCACTGTCACACCTAGGAAACACAATCCTGTTCTATTCTCAAAACACAATGTTCCAGTTCCAATACCATGAAAAGAAATATAGATTCGCAGTGAATCAATGTTTATTTTAACTGATCAATCTGTTTATCAACTTTTACAAGCAGGCCTTGGGAAACTTTCTAAACTTAGGTTAACTTGTTTATAACAGATTATATTTGTGTGTAAGCCAATTATTTTTGAATACAAAGGATTCAAACATTACAAATATTGTTCTGTATATTTTGTGCTCTACAATTTGATATTGCTATAATTCAAAATATTTAATTATCTATCGCATTAATGGTTGCAATTTACATTCTTTATAATCTATAACTTGAATTACCTTTAATCATGTATTTGTTTAGAGTAAAACACAACTTAAAATTTGAGATTTACTTAATTTCTTATAAATCACACTTATCAGTCCTTCAATTTTCAGAGAGAGAAAAAAGAAAGTTTCAGGTATCAGTTTCTTTGAGTTCTGGTACATATAACGCACAGAGGCTCTTCCTGAAAATAAACTTGCTTAGCTCTCATCGTGCTTGTTGGATGGCCAAGCTCCACAAAGTTGCTACTGTGAAGAGTGGAAACCAATTTAAGAGACCGTGGAAACAGGCTGGGCGGAGTAACGATGAAAAAAAGAAAAAAGCTGCTTCTTTGTTTTCTTTCAACAGCAGCTAGGCCTCGAGGGAACATGTGTTAAAGAGTGTGGTCTTTGTTTCTGATTATGTCAGAAGTTTGAAGAACATGAAAGCCAAGCTGATGTTGACGAACAGAACCAATATTACTAACTGTTGTCTCGAGAACCAGGCCTGTAGAAAATAGGAGAAAAAAAAAGGATAACACATAATTTCATTTAAAATGTGCACAACGATGAAAATGAAATAACGTTAAATTAGCTTAAAAGTATTCACACTTCTTATTTTTCCCAAAATTAACACTGGTTTTAAGGCGTTAATTTCTACATGTTTTGTTGATTTACTTCTCATTTGATCTTCAGTGCTAAAGAATCAAGTGCATTATAGTAGATTAGCGAAAATTTGATAAACCATAGAACTTAATTTACGATAGGTAAACGATTGTAACAGTCTTTACCATGAGGGAACCGGCATGGCCAGGTGGTTAGGGCGCAATTTGTGAGTCGCGGGTTCGATTCCCCGTTACACCAAACATGCTCGCCCTGTCAGCCGTGGGGGCGTTAAAAAGTGACGGTAAATCCTACTATTCGTTGGAAAAAGTACTAGTAAATGACTATCTGCCTTTTCTCTAGTCTTAAACTGCTAAATTAGGGACGGTTAGTTCAGATAGCCTTAGTGAACCTTTACCATGTACCTAACTACGCTGATAAGAGCTTATATCGATCGAAACTATAGGTTTATAAATCACGTGGTATTAGTTTTGTTACCTAATGTGTCCACAAATGTAGACGAGGTTTTCTATTGATTGAACTAATAAAAAATTTAAAAATTGCCCAGTTTTGTGTGAGTAATAACAAATAAATCTTTATCTGTGTTAGGTAAATAAAAAATAAAGCATTAACAGCATTTGTTAAATGGCTGAAAAACAATTTAAAAGTAAACTATAAACTATGTAAGTCACATAAGCCCAAAATGTAACTATATTAAAATAATGCCTAAATAACACAAAGTAAAAAATATGGATGAATAAACCTTCTTATTTATGAGTAGAAAGGAAGGGATAATACTTGATTACCAATGAAATTATCGCGTTTTCATCTGAACAAAAATAAACATCAAAATAAGATATGACAAAACAAAGACGTAAACCATATTGTCTTTGATTAGTATAACTCAAAACAAGTACTTTACTGAATAATTGTAAAATGATGTAAAAATATAAGAAAACGAACATTATGTAAAATACACTTTCGAAACATTCTTTCAAAATATATGAGTAAATTTAATACCAATATTCATATTCCATTTCTATTTATAGATATTTCGAAAAAATAATTCTGTGAGGTCTAGGTACGTCTTACATATTTTTTTTTGCGTAGATTTTGTAAAGTAACAAGAATATTTCAATTTTAAAATTTTAAGATTTTTAATAAATCAGTTTCTTTTCCTGTTTCTTTCATCCAAGTTAAACTGCATAAAAAAGTTATGTTTATTTTCAGTTAATATTTGTTTAATTTTGGAATATTTTACTTACAATATGAGCAGAGACAAACAACATCTGGACCCCCCTTAGTTCTTTAGAATTATTTTGACAATGTAGTTTACCCGGATGCAATTTGAAAAATTATACAAAAGAGTGTAAAGTTATATGTTTTGATAGGTTTTATACAGCTTGAAAATGGCAAATTTACAAAATAGTAGGTTTGGAAAATTAAGTGTTGAGGATTGAGCATGAGTGTATATTACAGTCGATTGTGGATCTTTCTTATATTTATTAACTACTCGTGTTTCGGTGATAACAATTCCCTAAAAGGAACAACAAGCATAATGATATTGCATTATTACTGCTTAAGGAAATCTTGTGCAAGCCACTTCAAGTAAGGCTAAAATTAGGTTGTTGTCTGGCATGTACGAAAATGAGTTATATAGTAACCTGAAAAGGACTAGAACCAGATGTATACCTTTTGACCTGAGTTATTCATTGGCGTAAACACTAATAAGTTCACCCATCTAGAATTAAGAAATATTAGTTAGAAGTTACTTAAGAACTTTTCTGTATTTTGTTTCTATAATACTTTTCAAATGAGTGTAAGATGAAACGTATAATGCATAGATTTCAGTATTTTCCCGACATCTCTTTATGAAAAAAAATTTCATTGTTATTCTGGAAAATTTATCCAACAGAGTGCTTGTAAGAAACTAGAAAAACAAACAAACAACTGTTTGAATTATAAATAGCAATGAAAATGTTGATCTCCAGGGTTACGAAGAAGACTTTGAAACTGCATGCGTATATATTCAGTTATTGTGCACAGTTTGTTTACCAGTTATAGAATGCCCGTAATATTTTATCCCTATTAAGTTATTCTATGATAAATTACTTATTGTCTGGTAACCGCTTTTTTTTAATTTTATTTGTAAAGAAAGGATATCTTCAATTCGCATACAAGATACACATTTTCTTTATTAATGAACAGCATTTTTTCGACTTTAAGCGGTTTAAATAGAACTGTTCTACTTGTTATTACGCTGGTAAAATAATATTTAGGACAAGCTTAAGTAAAATAATCTATGACCAGTCCCACCTTCTTAGTCTATATGTAGATCATACGTAAATGTATTACATCAACCGCCGTACATCCCTCCTAGTGTGCTTATTTCGGTATATATAGTGGAAAGTTTACACAAAACGATTCCCAGTAGACAATAATCAACCAATGGGGTCATAACAAGATTGTTTTCTAGTACATAAGAACATGAGTTGTGTCAAGAAGCGACCAAGGCAACCAGTTAGCTAATCTGGGAAGAGAGCAATTTGGCAACTAGCCTAACCGGGCTTTCTATGGACTAATTTGGCCAAAGTATGTGTGAGTAGATCACGTTGCTTTCTCGAAGACCTGGACTTGTACGACTTGAACTATATAAGTTCCATGCAAAGAATCGTTTACATTTTAAGTTTGAATATAGCAGGAGCTAATGCGTTGTTTCGCAAAGCGGAACGTTGTGCTACAATATTTGTGTCGAGTCTTACAGCTGATAGTAAAATCAATGACTGTCAACATTCATTGGTGGATGAAACACCATCATTCTCTGTTTATTAGTTTTTTGTAGTGAGGAGAAAAAAAGTGAACGAAACGCTGATGTGGATTTTGTTAACAATGTTTGGTTACCAAATATTAGATGACTATGTTTTATCCAAAAGTAACCGGAGAAAAGTGTTCACACACACAAACACCCACTGCAACTGTCCGTTAGTTGTGCAGTTATCACAAGAACATAAAAGTACATGTATACATGTATAAAGTAAATATCTTCTACTCAAATTAGGAGTCGACATTTGTGATTTAAGAACAAAAATAGTTTCTGAGGTTTAGCCAAGCTTCGCTTCCTTCAACAACTAAACGGTCGTTTTAAATACCGTTTTTAACAAAACGATACTGAGCCTATAGATACTCCATTCAAGCTCTCTGAAAACTAGGTCAGAACTTCAGTTATATTCATATCTTGTTTTTTCAGACAAATAGTTGTGTTTGGTGGTTAGAAACATGACATGGTTAATGACATTCAAAATGACAGTGAGAACGTGGTATATATATTTTTTTAAGTGAAAATAAAAGTTATATGTCGAAGTTTAAATAGTGGAGTGCACACGATTCAAGAATAATCAGATGAAGAGTTCCTGAAGAAACATGATAGGCAGATTTCCCCCTATGAAAGAGCATATAAATAGGTGTATAAACTACTTTAGATCCACTTTACCTCCTACAGTCCTATGAGGCTGCACTGGGTGGCATTTGTTTTTTATTGACTTAATTGAGCGTATTTAAGATGAAAAGTAGTCTTCCGGTAGTCACGGTATTAGTTTATTTTTTCACCAAATATGGGCAATAACTTTTACATTGAAATTAAGTTGTTTATAGATAAAGCATACTTTTTTATTACTTTATATTCAGATACATTCCGTGAGTTGGAACGTAGCGAAGTGCAACCATGATATGTATTTTTATTTTATTTTGATATTAATAGTCAGTAGTATGTAACTTCAATTGATTGATATTTCTTATATCTAATGTTACACGTCAGTTGTGTGAGTTATTTTGTTTTAGCGTTTTGATACCAACACTCAAATGTTATAGTTTTAGAAAAAAGGAAATATTTTTTGCGAATTATTATAATTCCATATGAGATAAAACACATGTAAATATCACGATATATCCTTAAGTCATTTGTTTGTGTTCTCTATCGTATCTTCCCAGAAACATTGAATATATCGTAATACTGGAGTATTTGGTTTTTATACTTACATAATAAAAAATCTATTACCCCACACGGAAGCTCATTGGTAAGTCTGGGGGTTTATGGTGCTAAAAATCGGATTTTGATACCGCGCTGTGAGCAGAGCACAAATCGAAAAATGGGTAGCTTTATGGTTAAAAAACAAACAAAAATAACAACCCAGTCTTAAAGTCTATATATACTACATGTACTATATAAAGACGAAAAGCCGTTCGTCTGTCACGCCGATATCTCGGCCGTTGCGGTACAAATCGACATCCAACTTGCACGAAACGACGGCGCTTTCTGGCGCAACAAGTAAGTATGTCTTTTTAAAATTCTTCCACCTATATACATATATGTATATATGAAAGACGATGCGGTACTTTGGGCATATAATTAGATTTGAGGATAATTGGTAGAGATGGCGATGATTAATGAAATTGAATCGGGTATATGCGCGCCACACCTTAGTATTGCTGGCGAACAAAAATCTTAATAATTGGCTGAAAATCCCCATTACGTTTGCTTGGTTGTCAAGGAGACACGCTGACGCAACGTCACCCAATTTTGTGCAGTCGGAACCTATGGCTACAACTTTATAATAACCCGCATGTTTTACCCGCAGCACATTTTAAATTCTATAATACCCAAATTAAAGCGCGCTTCTTCAGCTCAGCAGGCTAACAAACCCAAAGTCAGTCCAAAGAGAAGATTTTGAAATTCGTAATGAAACTCACTACCTTTATCACCACAATTAATAATTTGCAGAGTTATACAATTGATCACGCAGGAACATGTCTTTGAGAATTAATTTTCGCATGTTTCAATCTATAAGGCATTATCAAGAAGAACATTTGGACATACCTTAGAAATATACAAAAATCAATGAAATACTAGAAATAGAATTGGTATACATATATTGTTACTAGATTATAAATAATTTTTAGGAAACATGTTCATAAAACATTTATTTAGATATAATTTTGAGAAGAAAAATTAATCATTATATCCCGTCATATAATACAATATGGAAAGTAATTGTCACCCTATAATATAATTTTAATGAATATCAAAAGATATATCTAGATACGTACTATTAGAGACCATTAAAGAACATAAATACATAATAATATAAATTAGTGTGACAGACATTAAACTTCTTTTTAAAGAACATCGCAATTTTATGTTACGGATATCTTAAGGATGGAAATAAAGTATATTAGTTTAGAAAATTACAGAGCATTACGCTCTCTCCATTTACCTTGACATCAGGATTAAAGAAATATAGTAATGGATTAGCACGGAGCCGTTCTGCTTCCATTTGCATTCTTCGAACCTCCTCTCTCCTCTGAGAGCTCAGCTCGGACACTTCTGCTCTCGTCATAATCTTGGATTTCGTTACTGCCGCCTGAATATCAGGAAGACTTTTTTTTCTTTTGATAACCGCAGGTTTACTAGGTTGGAGTTGAGAAGGAGGTTGTTTTTTTGTTACCCCACCGTAAAATGACGTAGTCCTTGGAGGTGTGGAATCAAATATTTTCTCTTCTTTCTCACTTAAGCGAGGGGTAGTCAATATGGCGCTGCTGTCTCTTTCACTATCACTAGGAGCAGAAACAAAGAGTCCAAGATCAACTTGACCCTGAAAACTCTCAGCATGGAGATTAGGTAGAGTAGATCGCCGTGGAACATGACCAGGAGAAAGGTCATAACTGTCCATGCTTTCGGAAACCCCAGAGTCTGGAGTGCAATCAGGAGTATAGCGTATGGGATGATGTGTAGTGTCCAAAGGAGCTTGAACGGTTTGTAATTTAGGTATACTAAATTGATTGCGAGACTGGCTAGGACGAGAACGAATCTTAAATTTTTCATGCTCGAGAGGGTACTGGTCATGATTCTCAGATATTACCTGGTGCATAGTGTATTTATTTTCTCTTTCTCTAAAGCTGGGTTTTTTCTGGTGCCGAAAAGAACCTTGTGGATTTCGAGTGAATGCTTCACTACCCGTTGGTGTAACTGAGGGATCTAAATAGTTCATGAGGTTCTGATTGACTTGATAAGTTTCTTTGGCTGGAGTATTTTCTCGAAATGGAACTTGAGATTTACTACTGTCATATCGATCAATTTTCATTGTTAAAGCGTCTGAAGTGACCTGCTCTGTATGTATATTTTCTCCTGGATTCAGTGCTAAATATTCCTGAGAAACATTACCCTGGTGAAGGTAGAGAGAATGAGTTCTCTCTTGAGCTTGTTTATTTGGCACCGTAGTTGATGGTCTTCGTATTGTGTTGATTTCCTGATTTTGTCTATTTTCATCTACTTTTATTTTGAGTAATTCATTCTCTACTGTAAGAAAATAAATGAAAGTTTTAAAGTTGTTGATATAATGGTAAATTTTTGAAAATACTATGCATTGCTAAAGAACGAATCGGGTCTGGATGGAACGGAATGTAATACTGACAGTCTTATTTATCTGTTGAAGATTTATATGTATGTAAATACTAAACATTTCTATGCATCATTGACCAATTCTTTACAGATCGTAAAATAAGTTTAAATATTGACATAATTTAATTTAAGATACTTTTTATGCATCTGAAGTCGAACCATCATAATTAACAAAATAAATGTTAATAAGATTTTATGTTAGTGAAAAAAAAGATGTTATTATCTATTTTAACCAATAAGTAATGGATGACTGAATTTGTGTACTTTCGTTCTTATAATTTGTTTTTAAAAACAATAATTTTATAATGTTTCTTATAATTCAACAAAGTTAAATACTTTTTCGGGTTATCAAAGAATAGATAAATAGAAATAAAGTTTATTCGAATTTGCTATGTGCAATGTCATTGAACCTATTTATTATAATATTGTTGATTCGACATTCTGAAAGTTATTGTCTCTTTTTATTAGCTCATTATCTGACAATTTCTCTCTGTTTTTATTTTATTTTACAAAATCAACATAAGTTAATATTGCGTGGTTTCTAATATGATAAATAAGTTTACGTCTAAAGTAATTTTCAGGTTAAAATAACCCGTTTGGTGTGTAATATAGAGTGTATTAGTTTATCATGACCCCCAGTGGCACAGCGGTATGTTTGCGGACTTACAACGCTAGAAACCTGGTTTT